TATAGCTCGGACGACAACATCCCCGGCCAGGCGGCTCACAAGGAAGAGGACTCTGGCAACGCGCTGGAGGAAAACCCCCAAAACCCCCCCAATTCCACCAACACCACGTCCACGGGCAAAAACCGGCGGAGGCGAACAGCCTTCACCAGCGAGCAGCTGCTGGAGCTGGAAAAGGAGTTTCACTGCAAAAAAACCTGTCCCTGACGGAGAGGTCCCAGATCGCTCACGCCCTCAAACTCAGCGAGGTGCAGGTGAAAATCTGGTTCCAGAACAGACGGGCTAAATGGAAACGGGTCAAGGCGGGCAACGCCAACTCCAAGACAGGGGAACCCTCCCGAAACCCTAAGATCGTGGTACCCATCCCGGTGCACGTCAGCAGGTTTGCGATCAGGAGTCAGCATCAGCAGCTGGAGCAAGCCCGACCCTGATCTCTGCCTATGCTCAGAACCACAAGTTTTTGAGGGAAAAGTTTCCAAATCGGTGTTTAAAAACAACCCACCCGAAAAAAAAAAAAAAAAAAGAAATGAAGCAAAAAAACCCTAAAGCAAACAACAGCCAACAAGAAAAAAAAAAATCCCACGCGAGCGCACGGCAAATCCCCGCCACGAGCGAACTTTAAAGCGAAACTTTCCACTTACCGTGTCAAGCGAGAGGCTGCGAAGGCAAGAAGCTTGGAAACTGTTTTTGGTTCGGAGCAGGAATATCAAACCCTGGAAGAGACACACAGATATTTATTATTACGCTGCCCCCCCCACTTTGTAGATACTGGTGCTGTCTTGGCTGCGATGGGGACCACAGATGCGGTACGGTGACGGCGTCGGATCCGGCAGCGATGCGCCCGTCTCCCCCCTCACCGACAGAGACATCCCCAGCGAAACCCACAGCGCGCCTTTAGCCATCTTTGGGGTTTTGTTTCTTGTCGGGGGCGAAAGGTAAAAAGATGAGAGAACAAAAAAAACCCAAAAACAACAACAAAAAAAACCCCACGAAAGATAACTAAGAGTTTCATTTCATGCCTTCTTTTATTGTTTGATTTTTATTTCCGATGGCTGAGTGGCAGGCACTGGGGGACGATTTTTTTAAATATATTTTTTGCCTGGCTTTCTGTCGATTTGGTTTGCCTATTCTACCAAGCCATGTTTAAAAGGGAGAGAGAAAGAGGGGGGGGAAAAAAAAAGGCACGATCTTCTCTATTGTGTTTAATTTATTTCAATGTAGCTTATTTCCTTATAAGTTATGCAATTTAAAAGCAAACTAAGTCTTGTGAATAAAA